GGGGGTTCGCCTCCCAAGGGGCAGCCGCCGCCCCGCTTGCCGTCTTGGGGCGGAATCCTTTCTCTTCCGCTGGGCCTTCGATGGCTCTCCCTTGGTCGTACCCCTGCCCGCGGCTCTCTCTCTCTCTTCCCTCCACACTTTCAACTCTCTTGCTTTCTCTTTCGCCTCCAGACCCCCAACCTTGTGCCCCTTCGGTCTTTCTGACCCCCCATCTCCAAGCTCTTCTTGCGGGGGGGGGCTCCCTTTCTTCTGCCACGTGCTCTTGTTTTCATTCTTCATGTTACAGTTAGGGTTCATTGCTATCTTCAGTTGCTGTTAATTGCAATCTTCCCTTGCTGCTAATTGCACTCTTCGGTTGCTGTTAATTGCAATCTTTGGTTGCTGTTACAGTAATTGCACTCATCTCTCAGTAAGATGAATAGGTCATTGTACTATCTGTTTGTAATACTGTATGATGGATTGTTCAAAATAAAGTTTTCTTTAATAGTTTTCCTTGTCCCCTTCGCAGCCCAAATCCCAAAATGCCATCACAGTTGCTGTCTCCTCCCGGGTCCTGTTCGACATGGTGGAAGAGAGGAAGATCTATGAAGAGCAAGGTGTGGAAAAATATGTGGAGTATCAGCAGGCCAATGAAAATGTCACCCTGAAGCCAGGGCCAGCTTTTTCCTTCGTGAAGGTAAAATGTCTTCCTTTTCAGGAGTTCGGTTCAGTATGTCTCCCCCACACAGCCCTATTAACAAATATCTTTGAGCTGTCAATAACTTCTTCTTTCCCTGCTGCGCCCTCTCTGCCCCAAAGCAGTCAGTGGGTAGATAATTTCCTTGTGTGTTACATAATCCTACTGTCGGATGTGCACAAACGCACAGAGTTCTAGCAAGTTGGTTTCCTGGTTCTTATGAAGGGAGGGAAAATTTCAGGTTCCCCGAAAGCAGCATGACTTACAGGGAAGGCTGAGAGCTCCAGTTAAGGAGCAGAATCCAAATTATAGGAAGAGGTGGTGTAATAAATAAAAGCACTGCAATATCTTTTTGGCCCCTAAGGGTTGTGGTATCCAGTGTGGTGTAGTGCAGCGTTCCCCAACCCCTGGTCCACGGGAGGGAGAGAGACCTCCCGCCGTCCCCCCACGCGCACTCACCCCCTTGCCGCCCGTTTGTGCTTGCGCAGTACTCCGGCATGCCCGCACGAGCGCTGCACTGCCATTTGCGCATGCGCATGGGTGCTCACATGCATGCGCGAATGGAGATTAGGGTTCAAATCCCCACTTGGTCATGGAAACTCACTGGGGGAGAGGAACTGGTAAAAACCACTCCTTAAATATTTCACCTTGAAAGCCCCTTTAGAGTCACTGTAAGTCTGTTCTGACTTGACAGCACATAACTGCCTAATTTAGGGTTTGTTTACTTTTAAAATGGCTGGGCTTAGCATTTTGAATTCCATGTTCAATTAAACTTGGGATATATGCAAAGGAGGTCTTGTTCGGAGAGCCTTAGGAATTGGGAGACACAAGGCCAGCCCTGTGGTTGTGCAAAACTGAAGCAGCCACCTGAGTTGATAGATTTTGGATGTCATGAAAGGGCAGTAGTTTGTTATTGCTGTATGTTTTGAGGAGATGGGTGTGAAAAGTTTTCTGTCCCATGTGCCACAACAACTTAGTGGTCTTCAAGCACTCTATTGCAGAGTCTGGAAAAGTTGCTTTTTGGAATTGCAACCCCGAGATGACCCCAGGCATGTGTCGAGAAGTATGAGAGTCCCCCAGCCGTCAAGCTGGGCTATAAACCTTGACTTGGATAGGGGGAGGGGCATGCACCACTTGCTGCTTTGCCAGCAGCTGGTCTTGGAGCAGCCCTGGGGAAAGGTGTTGGTCCTCATGACGTACCCATGTAAGTTGTTTGCCTCCCTGCCATCTGTGGTTTTAACAGCAACTTGCGAGGCTGGATCAGCTGAGTTGAAAATGGGTTGATCATGTGTACATAATCAGGAACTCCTCTTTCAGTTGGTCTCTACCTTCCTGGAAGAAGAAGAAAATGCTACTCTCTGCAGCATAGAAACATAATACCGGACTCCCTTTTCTGAACTGAACCTGTATAGGCTTTGAAGGGATCCACAAGGTAATGCAGTGTGGCTTTAAGCTAACATTGTGCTGGTGTCTGACCATGGGCATGATGAAATTTTCCACTGGTCTCTGCAACCCTTCACACTTCCAGAAAACCAGCCACAAGAAGCTTCCCAGCCCTCTCAACCAGATTTGGGGGATGGGCAGCATGGCAGTGGTGAATTCCCCCCCCACACACACACACAGAGTTCCTTTAGCAGAAGCAGTTCCATCAGTACAGTGGACCCTCGACTTACAGACGGCTCGACTTACAGACTTTTCGAGTTACAGACTTCTCTGGCTGCAAAATTTAGATTTGACTTGCAGCCAGAGAATCGACTTACAGACCAGAAAAAAACCAAAATGGAATAAAAATAGAATAAAAACAGCTGGTTATGGGATTAATCGGTTTTCAGTGCATTGTAGGTCAATGGAGATTCGACTTACAGACTTTTCAGCTTGCAGCCACCATTCCAATACGGATTAATTCCTTAAGTAGAGGGTCCACTGTAGAATCATTGGCCTGTTCATTCAGCATGTGTTAATTGTTCAAGATATTTGGGGGCGGGGGAGGGAAGAGATCTAACTTCCATATTCAGCTATTTTAACATCTGTGCTCCCAATTCTGCTTTGCTTAACGGTTGTATCTGCAGGTACATAAATCCTATGTGACACTTTTAGGTTTGTTTTCACAATGTTTTTAGCAAAATAAATAGAATAAATTTTAAATTTCTTGAGACTGGGTTGACCTGAAGTGTTGACCTATTTGCCTTTGAGGAAGCAATGCAAGTGCCTATGAGACCTAGCATTTCGTGGCATTTCTGAAACCTTGGACTAGGACTGGATGACCCCCCAGATTCAGACCCCATGCCCCCATGTATGAAAAGAGGGATGTTGTTCCATGGTAGAGCAGATGTTTTGTATACAGAAGGTTCAGTTCCTAGCATTTCCAGATAGGACTTGCCTGAAACTTCGGAGAGCAACTTCCAGCAGTGTTGACAGTATTTGTGAGCGTTACAAGAACCAAAGCTGACTTGGCACAAAGCCTTATAGGACTGGAAGAAGAGGCAAGGAAAAAAATAACATTTTCAAATAAAAAGCACCAAGCACATATGTTTCTTTAGTGTATACAATATTAAGTGGCTCCTATTGCACCACTCATAATTGAACACTACTGTCTTCCACCAATTACTTCAGAATACTGTATCAATAATTAGCCTGCAGTACCACTTCAAGAGCCCTCTCTCCCTTTTATTTTTTCAGTAGTACGTCATTTTATTTTTCACAAGTATGTCTGATATTTTGGGGAAGTACACTGGTTTTGTATGCACAAAGTATTTAAGGTATATTATATGTTGTAAACAATTCTGCAAAAAGGCAGAATTTTGTATTTAAGAAATAGATGGGGACAGGTGCTGTAACATGAAGAGACCACGTTAAAGTTGATGAAGAACTGGCAACAGATCCTTCACTGTCGCTCTCAGTGGCCTGTTCTTGTCCCTGGTTGAGAAAGAAGGACCTTTAATCCAGAGGTGGCCAGCCTGGTGGCCAACCAAATGTTATTGAACTGCAACTTCCATCATACCATTGGCTGTTCTGGCCATAGCGGACACAAGATGCTGTCCAGCAACATCTGAATAGTTAAAAGTTTTCTCACCTCCATTTTAATTCTTTGGGTCGTCTTTCTTTCTTTTCTTTTTTTTCTTTTTGGATAGTTATTCACTTCCCCAGCAATGTCCCTTCAGCTTGCACAAGCCACTGGTTACTAAGGGTGTCATGTGATTTTGTGGAGTATGCATGGCACCACTTCCTTCTCCCTTTATCCCAGAATATGACGAAGTGTGCCCCCATGGACCTAACTGCAGCACCTCTCGGAACACCAGTCCCAAATCCTCTGTGCCCTCAAGGGAGCATGGGAGGCAGTTTTGAAAGACATCAGCAGCACGCATACACCATTTGTAATTCAAAACCATGGCCCAGTATAGGGCATGAAGTTTTATTCATTTTTTTCCATGTAAACAGTTTTATTTTTTAAAAAAATGTGGTTGGCCAGGAGTTGGAAGCATGTGTGGCCCTCAGGACTCTGGAGGTTGCCACCCATGTGTTACTCCAATACTGTATTTCCTGTTGCAACACTTAAGATGTAAAATAATTGTGTTGCCACTTTGTCCTATCTGTCTCAGCTTTGCTAGTTGACAGTCCTTGTGGAGTTCTTAGTCCACTGCCAACTGGTACCTATTTTGTTAGTAGGCAACATGAAAGGACACAAAGCTAAGTGGTAGTGGTGCTTTCAATCATGCCTTCTCTGTTATGTCTCCCTCAAGGCAAAAATTTCACATTCATTGTTCACATGATTCAGGCTTTTATAGTCCAGGTTGCAAAACCTTGTCATGTGAGTACTGGAGTAAAGGTTGCATTCCGAAAGTGACTTCACGTACTGGAAAACTGGAAGTGACACTTGTCTGAGGAAAGGTTGTAGCTCCTTAGAAGTGTGTCTGTCCTCCATGTAGAAAATCTCAAGTCCTAATCCTTGGCATTTTCTAGTTAGCCTGGGAAAGGCTCCCGCCTACAGTCCTGGAATATAAGCAAAGTTGCTATTATTAGGTACCATCAGTTTTGCCCCCCAATTTAAATTCATGACCTCTAGAACAGTGGGCCCCAACCTTTTAAACACCCCGGACATGTTGGGGAAGGTGGGGCACCCCCCATGCGAAAAGAGGCAAGCACATGCTTGCACGGGTGTGTGTGCACTCACGTGCATGTGCAAAGGAGTGGGGAGCGCTTGTGCAGGCACGCACACACTTGTGTGCATGCACAAAGGGGCTGTGCAGGGGAGTGGGAGATTTGACACCAGGCTGCGGATTGGGGTTTGGGGACTCCTGCTCTAGAACACAAAAGACGTAGCTGTACTGAATACATAAAGAGAGTTGTGAGGGTTCAGATGTTTGGACCTCTATATCTTCTAGAAGGTCCTATTTTTAGCATCTTGTGTAAACAGAATTGATGAATAGTTGGTGAAGATTGGTCTGACGTCTTATGATGGACCTCCTCCTTGAAAGCAAGATTGGTCCCATTTAAAATTATCCCCAAAACTGGACATTGTGGGAAGGTGCAGCTATTTAGACTGTAGTTCCCTGCCTACCTTAGTCCGTATGACCAGTGGCCAGGTTGGTTAGGATGCAGTGGGAATTGTCCAAAACACCACAAAACTTTTTCTGTCTCTGAATTACTCTGTGTGTATACAGACATGCCTGTTTTGTTCCTTCTTTAAAATATACATGCAGTGATGTTTATTGTACGTGGCTCAATACTAATGTTGGCTCAAAAGGATTTCCTTCCAGTATGAATTACTCCGTGCTTGAGGAGCCTTTGATATGCTAATATATCATGTGATATCTGAGTTCACAGTAAATTTGCCTTAGGTATGTCTTGACTGAAAAGGCTGTGAACTGCAGAAGGTACATCCCATAGTTATTGAACTGCTGGGCTTGGTCCTTCTCATAGCAAGCTGGAGCAGGCTCCTTTGAGAGAGGTCAAGAAGGAGACTCGCTGGAACCTGTTAGGCAAGCTGAGCTGGCAAGTGCATTCTTATTTTGGGCAGAGCCCCACGTGTCCTGATTAGATTTCCTTGACAAAGAGCGACAATTGAGTTAGAGCATTCACTCCTATGTTTGCCACCAACAGGCACTGGAACAAGTCAATGCCCGACTTCGTGAATTGTATCCAGAGGATGAAGAATTGTTTGATATTGTGCTCATGACTAATAACCATGCCCAAGTAGGGGTGAGGCTTATCAACAGCATTAACCATTATGGTGAGTTGGCACAGGTTTCTATATACGGAGCTGTAGTGTTGGGTTTTTTACTGTTATCTTTCTTTGTGTCTTGTACTAACTGATTCTGCCCCTCTTCTTTAAAAAGCATATGCAGGATGGCTTATATATCACTGTTCTTTCTGTAGTAGGAGGGTGAGAAGGGATCCTGCCTGTGGAAGTTGCCCCCTCGTAGTTTGAGAGTTAAAAAGAGGGGACTTCCGTGTTGTCATAGGCTACTACACAGAGGTCCTTATCAAGGGGACCCTGCAGTGGCAAAAATAGCTTTCCGTGCCCAGACATTGTTTAAATGGAGGCTGACTATAATGGATGGTGTTTCAGGGGTTCCCGTATGCAGGATGGCAGTCAGACACCAGTTCTACATGAATGCTGGGTTTCAGTTTGCAACAAATTTCATGGGGTCCTGAGGCTGCCCATACAAAGTCAGAGCGGGGATGTCACTTTCCATATGGTTGTGTTGAGCTGATCCCTCTCAAAGCAGTGTACTCGGTGTGATGTCAGGGCCATTGCATTGGGAGTGTTCCACTTTTAAAGTCGTCTCAGCCTTCCTTGTGAAATAGAACATAACTACAGTGTAGGTGGATGTCTTTACATAAGCGTCCACCGGTGGTGGATATTAACTTATATTGAGATCAACTGTAAATGCTCTGTAGATGTAAGGTTTGAAATAAAGGTATTGCCCACAGGTGGATGTTAATTTTGTTTTGCTTTTATGGGTCAATACAGCCTCATCTTTTTTCATATCTGCATCAGCTGATAAGAATTCTTTTTCTTCATAACCAGGTCTGTTGATTGAACGGTTCTGCATGACGGGAGGGAAGAGTCCCGTTGGCTACCTGAAAGCATACCTGACCAATTTGTACCTCTCTGCTGACTCTGAAAAAGTCCAAGAAGCCATTGAAGCAGGTTGGGATTGAACTTTTCTTTTGCCTCATCTGCAGAGTGATAACTAGAGTACTTATTCATGACGTGCATCTTCTACTGGATGCTATAGCTGTGGTTCATATAGGATATGGGATTATACATGTTCAATGAGATTGATCTGTTTTTAAAATGCCTTCTCATTTTCTTCTTTATTGTCTGCTTCTTAATATTGTCAGCAATCTGCTATATCAGTGAGGTTTCCTCTGTAGTAAATGTGTTTAGGATTTAACCCCAAATAATTTTAGAAAGTGTTACTGAAGCATTTGCTGTTTCGAAGGCATATCTGTATACTTATTAGCACAGTATTGGCATTTATTATATTGCTATTATGGGTGGCAATGCCCTTTATCATACACATGCTATGTATTTAGTGGTTTTTTCCCATGTTTCTGCAGGAATTGCTGCTGCCACATTGTTTACAGGGAATAAGAAAATTCCTTTTGATGATAAGCAGCTCCGGGTGGCCTTTGATGGGGATGCTGTACTGTTTTCTGATGAGTCTGAGATAATTGTGAAAGAACATGGCTTGGATAGATTTTTTGAGCATGAGCAGCTGAACGAGAACAAGCCTTTGGCACAGGTACAGTGATCAAAAGACTGCATTTTTTGTTATTATTATGAGGAATGTTGTCATGCTTGACAACATATATTATAAACAGTATAAATTATACACAATATAATTTTGTTACTCAGTTCCTGCAAGCATTTAATAAAAGTGGAGGGTTCTGTGGAAGAAACATGAAAAATAAAACAGAAACAAATGTGGTTTTTTTTTAAAAAAATCCAACTTTCTGTCTCCATGATATTCTCTGTCATATGACATTCTAAGTTTGTGTGTAAGAGGCAAGGAAGATCTTAAAAGGCAAAATCCTGATGGTGCAAAGTTACGTTGCGCAAGCCACATGATATTACCATCCAGCAAAAGGAATTTTTAATTTAAATTAATTGATAAGTTTTTATCCCCCTCTTTTAGTTTCTGAGGCTTCCGAGGACTCATTTGAGAGCCTTAGGACAGGGTAGGAAGGAATCTTTAATAGCCAAATGGCATTGCTAGGTTCCTGCCAGCATTCCTCATAGTGGGGAGAGTGGCAATCCAGGGACCGTTCTTGGCTATTAAAACCCTACTCACCCAGTGCTGAGGTTCACAAAGGATTCCCCGCAGCAAAAGGGAGCCCCAGAAGCTAAAAGGGAAGGGTAGGACACTTTAAATTAATTTACATCTAAATATACTAGCTCTAGAAGATGATACCTTCTGGTTTGTATAGCATAACTTTATGCAATAGAACCTTACCCATTATTTACCAAGTTTTCTCCAATATTTATTCATCTTATAATTTAATCCCATTCCTTGTGTTTGTTTTAATCTAAATAAATGACCTGGATCTAGAGATGACCTAGTGTTCATGCACCTCTCGTACATTTTGTCTAAATACTACTGAAGGGGTCGGTTCTGTCTATCTATCCCTTTCTTTGTGTAGATTTTGCCCACTGTTGACAGAGGTATCTATATGTACAATGGAAACCTTACACATTCAGTGGATCTAGAGCCGTTCCCAACCTTGGGTGACCTGGGTGTTCTTGTACGGCAACTCCCATAAACCCCAGCCAGCACAGCTAGTAGTGAAGGCTTCTGGGAATTGTAGTCAAAGAACACCTGGTTACCTAAGGTTGGGATCTAGATGGCGGACAGCTCTGCTTCTTCCTTCAGACATCAGGCTTGGAGAAATGTCTTGTTCACTTTTGTATTTTATCCATTCTGTATCTTACCAGTGTGAAAGCATCTTCTTATTAATTTAATGTTGCAAGTCAATCAAAACACTGAAACAGGACTTGGTAAAAAATAAATAAGTAAATCTGCATTCCTTCCCTCTCTTGTGAACAATGGTAAGCTACAGAGTGGATTGAAATCAAAATTATTTAAATAATGTTTCTCCAGATACTTTATCCACTCTGCTAAGCTAAACGGATTGTGAATCTAACTAACCCACTATAAAGCAGCTCCCTGCGTATTGTTTCTTTAGCATGTGTTTTTTCCCCCCCAGCTTCCTTCAGCTTTTAGACGTTGTATACACTTCGTAGTTCTCTTTCCCGTCTTCCTCTGCTCAACTTGTTTCTAATACCTTGTCCTTGTAGGGTCCTTTGAAAGGTTTCTTGGAAGACCTTGGAAGACTCCAGAAGAAGTTCTATGTAAAGAATGAACGGTTGGATTCTCCAATCCGGACGTACCTGGTGACAGCCAGAAGCGCCGCCAGTTCTGGAGCCAGAGTGCTAAAGACCCTTCGTAGCTGGGGAGTGCAAATTGACGAAGCCCTCTTTCTTGCAGGGGCACCCAAGGGACCCGTCTTGGCAAAAATCAGGCCCCACATTTTCTTTGATGATCAGATGTTTCACATAGAAGGAGCTCGGCAGCTGGGTACTGTGGCTGCACACGTCCCCTATGGAATTGGGCAGAAGTACCACAAATCCAAACTCAAGGAAGGCCCTGCCAGTAATTAGATCCTTTGAACTTAGCTTTGAATAGGCAGGGTTAAGTTTGAAAGTTTCATGCTTGGACTCCTATCAGGATTATATTTGTGTGTGGACTGCACTGTTTTTACAAATATAATTTTAGAAGAGTTTTTTTTTTACTATAAACGTAATTTTTAGAAGGAAAAACAGGACTATTTAAATATCTACTCTTCAACAGATTTCATTTTTAATTTCCACTTCTGGCTTGGCCTATTTCACCACCACCACCATTCAAAGATACCTACCCAGTGCTACCTAAATCATTTTCTGTCTTCTACAGAATTATGATAGCACAACACAGTGCTGTAGCAGCAGAGAAATGATGCCTAGTGTACAGCCGGCACAAGCAATGGAAATCTGTATAGGTTTTTCTATGTATACCCAATACAGACAAGACGGCTGTGCCTTGCTCACAAGCAGTGGGACTGCAGGATCAATTCAGTAGAATACAATCTAGAATCAGATCAATAGTGTTGCCATTTATTGTCCCTGGGATATAAATGGCACTCTTTCCATGTTGTAACTCTGAATATATTCTCAGTGCATTATTTCAAATTAGATACAGTATGTTGTTATTAAGATTTCCCTTACAATCCCCCCACCCAAATAAATTCACAGTAAACCCTTCATCCTTTTCTAAGAAAGTGCTTTGCAATATTGACCTCTTTTTAAAACTATTTGTCCAATTTAATAAAAAGTTTAAAGACAAATCAGGTTTTTTTCTTATTTATGTAATAACTATTGTAACTTTTGATCAATCAACATAAAACATTTTTAATTCCCACTTAATCAAAAGGGAGAAATTAAGACCTTGTTTGTTTATACATGTATAATTATTTATTTCTCCATCTTCTTCCCCAAGGAGATCAGAGTGTCCAAACTCTTCTAGTGAAGTCCGTGGGAAATCCATGGATCATGCCTAACATGTTTTTTTAATTTTAAAAAAATCATACAACCTTTAGATGTGCAGATGTTTTAAAATAGTCAAAAGCCCTCTGGACATTGCTATTGAACAGATAGCTATGTGGTATGTAACAACTGTTCTGCACACAACAGACTCCTGAGTATTTCATTTAGAAATTATGTTCATCAGGAGCCTTTTCTAAGCAAGTGTCCTCCAGTTGTGTCCACAACTCTCATCTTCAGCTAGCATGGCCATGTTGGTTAGAACAGATGGAATTTGTAGTCTAGCACACTGGTTCTTAACCTTGGGTTACTCAGGAGTTTTGGACTGCAACTCCCAGAAGCCTTCACCACCAACTGTGCTGGCTGGGGTTTTTGGGAGTTGCAGTTCAAAAACATCCGAGTAACCCAAGGTTAAGAACCACTGGTCTAGCACATCTGGAAACATTAGGTTAAAGAAGACTACTTTTGTGCACTTGTGATTACAGACACAGTCTTTTAAGATCATGGTGAGGAAACTGTGCCTTCTCTGTTGGGATGAACTGTAAAAGCAATTTCAGCAATTATTACGTAAGCTAAGGTATTGCTCAAGATCTTTTCTTCAAATTATATAAAGAAAATAGTTTTCAAAATTTCCCTGCTGCTGGCACCCCAACCACAAAGTGGAGCTATGCAACAGGGTGTAAAAAGACTATTTTTATTTGAGTTTTTAAACAGGGAAATGAGAGTGCACAATAGATAAGATAGTCAAATGTGGTAAATCATGATGAAAATAAATACATTAATAAAACAGTAACTCCTGTTTTATTAGTCCCCAAAATATGAAAAGGAAGGTCTTCAATAAAGACTGAAAATACAGAAAAATGGGCAAAGACTAAAGCTCAGGTTTTGTAAGAAGTTCTACCAGGTATTGTTGAGGCAGGTCAAGAACAGAAACAATCTGATTTTTTTTTCATTTTAAAACCACAAACAAATTGCTACTTACAAAAAAAGAAAGAAAGAAAGAAATCTGCGGGGGGGGGGAAGGGACCATGTTTCTTTCTACCCATTATGGATTTGCTAATATATTTGGCCTAGTTTTCAAAACTATATTTAAAGTTTCTGCGGAAATCTGGCATTGTGCCCTTTTGTACCTGTGAGAAGGAAGAAAGTCATCAGAGTAGCCTGGAAGGGATACTGAAATGAGCTGGATTGCTTTTGGTTTTGCCCCTTGGTAACAATTACAGCAAACATATTTGTCAATTTTTCTGTAGCCCTAGAACCATAGCGGCAGAAGCTTAACTCAATGGGAATTCCTCCCTTTTGCCCTTCCAGAAACCAACAGTACACATATCACATTTTCTAATGTAAAAGTTAGGAAATACTTTATTCATTAGAGCCGAACACTGAGCACAATTTTTTTAAATACTAAAAGAAGGACATATTTTCTGGTACTCCGCATTTCCTAAGCTGAAGTGGTTATTCAGATTTATTTCAAAAATCAACATTGCATACAGATGTTATTGCATATGAGAAATTGCTAGCAGGCTGTCTGAGGAAGATACTAGTACTCCCAAAAAAGGTGTGATAGGAGCAGGTCTAGATTTAGAATTTGAATTACGCCTAGCATGGAACCATGTGCTTTGCCGCTGGTTGCACCTAAGGTCAAGTGGTCCTGCCATTTGATTTATTTCACCTTCATGAATCCTTATAAATCTTACTGCAGGAAAAGTATCTCACAGTACTCCTACTTGGCTAGTCTTTAATTCCCCACACCCATCGGCATGGAAGTATTCTTAAACTAAGCTGCTAACTAGACAAAGCACCCAAGAGGCAGAGAGCCAGAACTGGAGATCCAGAATCAGTTTGCATCTGGTCCATCATTTAATGTTCCCTAATTTCATGTGGAACGTTAATTATTTACAAAACCTAACTTTCTCTAAACATAGACCACAGAGACTGGCGAAACGTTAGGAAGAACAACCTTTAGAACACAGCCAAATAGCCCGAAGAACCCACAGCAACCATTAGATCCCGGCCATGAAAGCCTTCACGAATACACTGACAAAGCACTGTTTAATCCCCAGTTTTAAAAACTGCCTTTTCCAGTGCAGCATCCCTGTGCTGATACCCTGATTCCCCTAAAATCGCTGCGTGTTAAACCGCAGAAGCCTCTGTGCTGCAAGGTTGGAAGACCCGCAGTTGTAAGATCGAATCCACGCGACGGAGTGAGCCCCCGTCACTTGTCCCAGCTCCTGCCAACCTAGCAATCTGAAAGCATGCAAAATGCAAAAGTGCAAAAATAAATAGGTACCACCTTGGTGGGAAGGTAACGGCATTCTGTGTCTAGTCACGATGCCCACGTGACCGTGGAAGATTGTCTGTGGACAAAAGCTAGCTCTATGCTCACGTGACCGTGGAAGATTGTGGACAACAGCTAGCTCTATAGGTTGGAAACAGAGATGAGCAGCACTGCCTAGAGTTGGACACGACTGGACAAATTGTCAAGGGGAACCTTTACCTTATGATTTTTCAGGATGCTTGTAATATAAGCCCTACCCCAAAAATACATCCTAGTTAAGTGAAACCCTGCCCTCCACCATTGTGCAGCAACCAGAAGATGACACGACTGTATGTGAATAAATGTAAATGGTTGTACATGAAAAAAATAAAACATGCCCTGAAAAGAAACCCTAATGCGTTTTTGAAGCAAAAATTAATATAAGACCCTGTATTATTTTCGGGAAAACAGGGTGCATACTAACAGACTGCTTTTATTAAATACAAGAGCAGTCCATTTATAAACTTGATTATTTCTCCCTATGTGTGAAAGAGAATCGAGTGCTGCTCTTAAACCAAGAAGAGTTAGAAACAGCTTCCCATCTTTTCGTTGTATTTTATTAATTTGCATTTTTCCGGTCCAAACCCACTTCGCATTTTAGCAATTGTAGGAAGGAGAGGACAAATTCAATCACCGCACAGATCTTTATATCTCCCTGCTGCTAAAGTAGGAAAGGATGGCGTGTCACCTTAAAAAACAAGCATTAAGATTAGAAGTCCAGTTCACCATACACATTTCACAGTTCACCTCTACATTGATGATGACGATGATGGATTAACTCTTGAGTTATGGCGACCCTTGCTAGTCCCCTTCTGGGACTGTCCCGCCGGCTGGCTCGTCTTCTGGGAGACAACAGTGGGAGACTGGGCTCCCCAAGCCTGGCAGCCATGCCTTAAAGCTCCTCTACAAAGAGAAGGGAAGGAGAGGGGGGGGGCGAAGTGAAGGGCACTAGACGTGAATTGCAAAAAAAACCAGCGTCGAATCACGCTAGTCAAAATATATTTGGCAAAATGGGCACGGTGGCTCTTCGCAGCAGCAGCAGCAACAGTCACTCAGGAAGAGTTCTGGGAAACGCAAAAGCGTGCATGTTGTGGTGGTGATCTTCTTTGCCTTTATTATTGTTATTACTATTGTTGCTGCTACTACTGTTGTTGTTGTGGTGATGATGATGATCGCTGTTAGTACTCCAGCTTGTCGACCTCCACAGCAGCACCAGCAGCATCCGACTGTGATATAGCCCTGATTCTTCCCGCTCCTCCTCCTCGTGTGCTCGTGGTGGCCGCGGGTTTCCCCCCGCGCCCCCGGGGGGGGGGGGGGCGTTCGTCGGCTTCTTTTCCCACCCATCTCCCCAGCGCCTCTCCGTTTCCTCCCCGGACGCTCGTTCCGACTACAACTCCCGCCATTCAAT